GATGACTAAAGAAATGGAACGCAAATAGAAATTTCTTCTATCTGCTACACTGGAGAGCTTTGTTACATCAATAATGTAATGTACAAGTATTATTATAATTATAATTATAACTTTTTCATTGGAAATTCGTAAATTTTTAAACCAGGGAGGAAATAATACAGTAGTAAGAAAACAAAGTAGAGTATATTCAGAGAAGTTCCTCTATTAAAACAAGCAAAATAGAGGTGAGTATGCAGAAAATCTGCAAAGAAGTGTCTGGAATCACGGCTTCGAGAGGAATTCGGAAAAAAAAAACTGGATCGAAGAAGAAATAAAGAAGCGTAGAAACGAAAGCGAGAAACCCTTGACCCAGATGCTGTACATTGAAAAAGAAATATTCGATAACGGAGTCCAAGGCTCGCGAGAACCACTTGGATCGGTAGAAATGGACAATTAAATGGTCGCATGACGAGACCATTGGATAATAAATTTCGCCCCGCCAGACGAGAATTTATTGTATTAATTTCAGATAAACTTTGACCCAAATAATCTACCTACGTAAGAAGGGTATCTACCTCTTACTTCAAAAAGACTTGTCCGACCTTGTTAAAAAAAAAAAAAAAATTATCTTCGCTAAAACACTTTACAAAACATTATTAAATATCATGAAAATATAATATATTAAATATTTAATATTAAATATTAACCATTAGATTTAGGGCCAATGTGAGTTAATATCTTTTTTTACTTGGAATTTAATATTCTTTCCATTTATAATAAAAAAAATATATGGTCTAAAATGAAGATAACCTTGAAAATTTCGAAACCCACGAAAAACTGACACGTCATATTTTGTCTACCTTAAAACCATGCAACTTTTGTATTAAACAAATTTCTCATTAGACGCGTAATTTAAAAGTTATTTCAGATGTGCAGGTTATATAAATTACCCTGTACATTAAATAAAATATAATATTTAAAGGTACGTCTGTGCCTTTAGAAAAACAGTTTTGCGTCACGGGGCGCTGATTTGCGTCACGAAGACTAGAAGACGACGTCAACTCAGCCCCTCGAACTTTGCCATTCGAGAAGTGAATTATTACTATAAATTACAGCGCTAAATCATAACTTTTCGTCTGTTTCACACAAACGAAGTTAAATAGTTTCCTGTTTACTTGGATATCGACTCGAGCTTTCCATTCTCCCGGAGAAAACTAACCTAGAATGTGACAAAAAGCAACGACAGTTCCTAACCTCTTTTTTTTTTCTTTTTTTTCACCAACCAGGCAATCAAACGAACCAACGTCCACGCACTTTTCTTGGAGAATTTTTCCAGCTTAATTGGCTTAATCGGGACGAGATAGAATCCGATTCGATCGAGCCGGCATTCCTCTTTTGAACAGAACTAGAACGCAATCGAGCGGCGAATCGATTAGGTAACAGCGCGGATCGAAAAGGCAACGGCCGTTAATTGAGGCTGCCGCCGCCTCGTCGGGACCACTAGCTTTTTCTTCTGGAATTACGGAGACCCCGTGAATTTCGAAGAAAAAGAAAAAAGGAAGAAAGAAAAAACCAGCCGATAAAGGTCCAATCAGGCACGATTGCAAGAATTTTAGGTCTTCCGAGCCTCGTTTCGGTCGGTCAAGTTACTTCCGTTCTTGTCTGCACTAACTTGAAGAGTATTTAAGTGTACCTATTACAGAATAAAAAGCAAATATAATTATAGTTACATTGTGCGTATTAGAAAAATATTGATTGTAATACTGATTGCAAGTAGCATCTTCGAGTCACAGACGAGCATAACGTGTACTTAATTAATTAACAGTTACATTTTGCTACTTATAGAATTTTACTATTAATTTATAATTCACTATTAATAACAGTAACATTTAATTATTTATATTTCTTGATGGAAATTGGCAACAAGGAAATGACATTGGTTTAAAAACATTATTAGTTTAAATAAATAGTTTGAATCGAATAAGATTCTTAAATTAAATTAAATTCTAAAATACTATAATCTCTTTGAAGAAAATTGATAACAAAAAAATGAAATTAGTTTTAAAAAATTAATGGTTTATAACTAAATGGCTTATTATTAATGATTTATAAATGGTTTATAATTATAATTATAAACCATTGGTTTATGAATTTATTAACCATGGTTTATTATTAATAGTTTATAAATGGTTTATAATTATATAATATATTATTAATGGTTTATAAATAAACAGCTTAAATTGTGAAAACAAACAAAAGTGAAATCAGATTAAATATGAAAAGTTAAGAAATGCAAAACTTAGTTGAGAGTTAATTTCAACTACAAATGTACAAAAAAATTGAGTCAATTTGGAATACCAATGTCAAGTTAAGGA